AGATAGATAGATAGATAGATAGATAGATAGATAGATAGATAGATAGATAAACTCTCTTCTAGAGTGTCTCTGGTCCTAAAGCTCTAAAGTCTCTCATCTCCTCATAGCATGTAGCATCAGTATGTGTGGTTACTTGTGTACCTGAATGTTAAATCCTTAATATCAAACTATCTTTTTGTAGGTCGCTTTGGATAAAAGCATCTGCTGCATTCAGAAATGTAAATGTAGAAAATAATTTTAACATTTCTCCATCTCCATGCATCCACTCTGAGCTCAACCTGATGCTACATGCTAGCAGAGGGTTTAGCATTAAGGCTTTATCATCCAGCTAGAACACAGATTCCACAGCTAGCATCCATTGATGCTACATGCTATCAGGAAAGAAGAGACTTTAGAGCTTTAGGACTAGAATTCAGCATCTTTAGGCTCAGACTCAAAGTCCTGAGAGGTTTGTGATGAAACCTCCAGACTTCCAACAACGACCGCTCGAGCCACAAGGCGGTGACGAGCGCACTGGAGGTGATCGGCTTCTCCGGGGAGGAGGTGGCCTCAGTCTACCGGATCCTGGCCTCCATTTTGCTTCTGGTAGGTCCTCAGATGGGGAAAGTTCAATTTAAATCAGTTTCATTTCCATAGTTCCGAATCCCAACAGCAGGTATCTGACAACTTTCCAAACAGTGCAGATCAGACCGACTCTGAGTTATTTACAGGAGACCAACAGTTCCCACCAAAAGCAGCACTAGGAGACACAGGGAGGAAAAAACTGCCTTTAGGAGGAAGAAACCTCAGGATCATGAGGGGGGGGGGGCTAGAGAAAGAGGGCAAGAGAGACAGAGAGAGGAAGAGGGTGAGAGAGAGAAAGGGAGAGAGAGACAGAGAGAGGAAGAGAGAGGGAGAGGGTGAGATAGGGAGAGGGAGAGAGAGAGAGAGAGAGAGAGAGAGGGTGATTAAATAGATGCTGTAGACTGGATGAAAAATGGTAGATATTGATAGTTATATATATATATAATAACATAATTTTATAAATACATATAATGTTACCCGCGACCCCATGAGGGAATAAGCGGTATTGATAATGGATGGATGGATGGATATAATGTTAATGATGACAGCAAAGACCTGGTCTGAGTGGGACGAGCTCCTTGACTCTGAGACTGTCTTCCAGGGCAACCTTCGGTTTGAGAGTGACGGGGACGGCGTTGGGGTCGTGGGGCCGGAGGCGCTGAGCCACATCGCCGAGCTGCTCGCCACCGACGCCGCCAGCCTCAGCAGCAGCCTGCTGTTCCGCACCGTGGCCACCGGGGGCGGCGAGGTCATCCAGAAGGGCCACTCCGAGCAGGACGCCTGCTTCGGCCGCGACGCCTTCGCCAAGGTGGGCGGGGGGGTACTGAGGGCTCAGAGAGAGGCGGCCTGGGGTCATTAGGGCTCTGTTACAGCTCTTATTTGACCTGTTAGAACCCTGATTTAAAACCTGTTAGAGCTCTGATTTGACTTTTTGAAGTCTGATTTGACCTGTTACAGCTCTAATTTGACCTGATAGAGCTCTGGTTTGACTTTTAGAAGTCTGATTTGACCTGTTAGAGCTCTGATTTGAGACCTAATCCCTGCCTGAATCGTCTTTGCAGGCGCTCTATGAGAGGCTGTTCGGCTGGATCGTGAGCCGTATCAACAGCATCATCGAAGTGAAAGACTACAACCCGGTGCTCCATGGGAAAAACACGGTTATCGGTGTGCTGGACATCTACGGCTTCGAGATCTTTGACAACAACAGGTCTGTGTCTGGTGTCCTGCCCTCGTCGTCACCCTGGAGGCTCCTCCTTTGCTCACCTGTTGGCTCCTGTGCAGTTTCGAGCAGTTCTGCATAAACTACTGCAACGAGAAGCTGCAGCAGCTTTTCATCGAGCTGATCCTCCGGCAGGAGCAGGGAGAGTACCAGAGGGAGGGCATCACCTGGCAGCATGTGAGGAACCCCACACAGACACAGCCTCTCTCTTAAAAACACTCACAGGAATCAACTCTCTGTCGGGCTTTGGTGCTTTACGGTGTTAAATGAGGCTGTTGCTGATCCAGCATCAGCTTCTGATCGGCCCACAGAACAGTTGCAGGTTCATTTCAAACAAGCTTTGGTCCAGAGGAGACGTTCAAACGAACCCCTTTAGCAGCTTTAACTTGCATCTGTATTCACAGACAGTTTTTGGGGTTTGTTGCACCTCTCTAAGGTCCTGCTTTTGTACCTAATTAATGGTTAACAAAACTAGATCTCAAGTGTTCCTCCATCTGTTTCTGTTTGCTTCTCCATCTTGTCTCAACTTAAATCAGTTCAAATTCTTAACAAAATACTAAATAGTCTCACTTTATACATTTGTCGGGCTTTATGTTGCTGCTGTTGTCACACACAGATCGACTACTTCAACAACCAGATCATCGTGGACCTGGTGGAACAGCCCCACAAAGGCATCATCTCCATCCTGGACGAGGCCTGCCTCTCGGTCGGGAAGGTCACGGACACAATGTGCCTGGACAGCATGGACACCAAACTGGCTCAGCATCCCCATTACACCTCACGCAAGGTGGTCCACAAGGCCCTCTGCCACTTTCTGCAGCTTCTGCTGTAACACTCTGCTTCTGTCAGGGCTAATCTGGTCCTCCTCAGCCCCCTTTAAATCCAAAGCCCCTCAGACTGAGTGATGTCACTGCCTCTCAGAGTTCAGAGAAGAGATCCAACTCGAACTAAATGCTCCTGTTCGATTTAACGTCCTCCAGGAAAACAGTTAGTCCACAACAAGTCTGACACCAAGAGACACACACAGTCCAGCGGAGGCTGCAGAAACAGACACAAAAATTCAAGAACAGAAACAAGATTACCAAAATGTGGAGCAAACAATCAGAAAATGTTCTTAAATGCACTAAAAACTGAAAAAATGAGACACAAAATGTCCAAAATGTGGAGCAAACGATCAGAAAATGATCTTAAATGCACTAAAAACTGAAAAATTGAGACACAAAATGATTGAATTGAGGAGCAGAAGATAAAAAAAGGGACAAAATTACCACAAAATGACCAAATGAAACACAAAACAGGATCTGATGTTATCTGCTGTTTTATTAAGAATCAAATAGAGCATTTCTTTATTTCAGTAGAAATTTAATCTGTTCGGGATGCACACAAACGGCCTGAAGCTGCAGGTGTAGTTTTAGCGTTCTGCCGACAGAGGGCAGCAGAGTCCGTCGTCGGACGGGAGAAACTTTTTAAACATCGTCCTCTTTAAAAAGTCTCGATGAAGAAAAATTAGGCAAAGTGGCGGCTGTGCTGATCATAGACATATAGACATAGACATACATATACATATATTTATATATGTCTATGTTGTTGACTTCCTGCTGTGGTTTCTCTTCTCGTGTGTAGCTCAGCCCCACAGACAAGATGATGGACTTCCAGAAACACTTCCGCATCCGCCATTACGCCGGTGACGTCACGTGAGTGCACCTCCTTAAAAGACCAAACAGAACCTTTCTGCTCGGTCCTGTTGGGTCTCTGATGGTTTCTGCTAGGTTTTGCTGGGTTATGTTGAGTCTCTGATGGGTTCTACTAGGTTCTGCTGGGTTCTGTTGGGTCTCTGTTTGGTTCTGTTGGGTCTCTGCCGGGTTCTACTGGGTTCTGTTGGGTCTCTGCTGAGTTCTACTAGGTTCTGATAGTTTCGACTGCATTCGGATGGGTTCTGCTGCGTTCTGCTGGGTTTCTGCCCCGTCTCTCTGCTCAGAGCACTAGCTTTGAACTCTCAGCTCTACACATAAAAAGCACAGCGATGCGTTCTGGTTCCTCTCACCAGAACCGGCGCCCCCCCCCCCCTTTCTAAAAATAGGCTCCATCATCCAGCTGTGACCCACTTCCTCCTGCAGCCTCCATCGTTGCTCCCTGGAGAGTCTGTGAGGAAAGCGCCTTCGCTTGGAGCCTCTTCTGTTCAGAATGACCCGATTCAGCCGCCGGCTCACAGCTCTGAACTCTCCCTTAGGTTCTGGTTCCAGTTCTGGAGGCTCTAAAGCCCCCGGAGGTCCTCATAGTGGACTCGGGCCTAAAGTGGTCCCATTCGGTCAGCTCCTTTAAGGAGGCCAGAGAAGCAGGAGGCTCTGGGACGTGTGATCACTCTGAGCCACGACCTCTGACCTTTGACCTCCTGGCTGAGCATAATGTGAGAGGGACATGAAAAGCTGAAAAATCCTGAGCCTCATAAAGACAAAGAAAAAAAAAAAACTTGACTGAAATGTGAAACCAAAATAGTGAAACTAGAAACCAGAACCGGAACGAGAACAGGAACCAGAACCAAAACAACTTCAGGGGAAACAAACTAAAAAGCTACTGCTAAACTGCCCTTTTTTCTATTCTATTAAATTCAAAGAACTTTATTAATCAAACAAAAGGGGAAATTCATCTTGATGCAGCTGCAACACAATAAACAAACGCCATAAACAACAATAATAACAATAATAATAATGTTAATAAGAACAATAATAACAATAATAATAGTGATAATATCAATAATAATAATAATGATAATAATAATAATAATGTATTCCTGTTTGTCTGGTTTAGGTATTCTGTGGAAGGATTTCTGGACAAAAACAAGGACCCGCTGTTTCAGGACTTCAAGCGTCTCATGTACAACAGGTGGGCGCCATGGCGAGCGGCGCCACGGCCCTCCCCCCTCCAGTCCTCACCCTGGTCCTCACCCCTCTCTCTACCCCCCCTCCCCCGCCAGCTCCAACCCGGTCCTGAGGGAGATGTGGCCGGACGGCCAACTGGGTATCACCGAGGTCACCAAGCGGCCGCTGACCGCCGCCACGCTCTTCAAGAACTCCATCGTGGCTCTGGTGGATAAGCTGGCCTGCAAGGTGGGAGAGGAGCCCAAGAACCCCAGAATGTGGATGCTAACCAGATGCTAACCAGCTGACTCAATGGTTCAGATGCTAACCACACACTAACCAGCTGCTAACCAGACGCCACCCGGCTGGGTCAGTGCTTCAGATGCTAACCAGCTGCTAACCAGACGCTAACCAGCCGGCTTGCTTAGTGGTTTAGATGCTAGCCAGACGCTAACCAGCTGTTAACCGAATGCTAACCGGATGTTATCTGGACGCCACCCGCCTGGCTCAGTGGTTCAGATGCTAACCAGACGCTAACCAACTGCTAACCAGATGCTACCCGGCTGGCTCAGTGGTTTAGATGCTAACCAGACGCTAACCAGCTGCTAACCGGATTTTAAGTGGACGCCACCCAGCTGGCTCAGTGGTTCAGATGCTAACCAGCTGCTAACCAGATGCTAACCAGCTGCTAACCAGATTTTAACTGGACGCCACCCAGCTGGCTCAGTGGTTCAGATGCTAAACAGCTGCTAACCAGACGCTAACCAGCTGCTAACCAGATGCCACCCGGCTTGCTCCGTGGTTTCCAGATGCTAACCAGCTGCTAACCGGATGTTATCTGAACGCCACCCGGCTGGCTCAGTGGTTCAGATGCTAACCAGCTGCTGACCAGATGCTAACCAGAAGCTAACCAGATGCCACCCGGCTGGCTCAGTGGTTTAGATGCCAAACAGACGCTTACCATCTGCTAACCGAATGCTAACTGGATTTTAACTGGACGCCACCCGGCTGGCTCAGTGGTTCAGATGCTAAACAGTTGCTAACCAGACGCTAACCAGCTGCAAACAAGCTGCTAACCGGATGCTAACCAGGTGCCAGCCGGCTGGCTCAGTGGTTAAGATACTAACCAAATGCTAACCAGCTGCTAACCGGATGTTAACTGGACGCCACCCGGCTGGCTCAGTGGTTAAGATGCTAACCGGAAGCTAACCAGATGCTAACCAGGTGCCACCCGGCTGGCTCTCTCCTCAGGAGCCCTACTACGTGCGCTGCATCAAGCCCAACGAGGTGAAGTCTCCGGTGCTGTTCGACGACGCCCGCTGCCGCCACCAGGTGGCGTATCTGGGCCTGCTGGAGAACGTCATGGTGCGCCGGGCCGGGTTTGCCTACAGGCAGCTGTACGCCCGCTTCCTGCAGCGGTAAGGCGCCGCACACCGCGTTCGTTTGTTTGTTCATTCATTCGTTCGTTTGTTCATTTATTCAATCATTCATTTATTAATTCATTTTTTTTTTCATTCGTTCATGCATTCAAGCATTTATTCATTCATTTTGTAATTAATTTACTATTAATTAATGATTTAATTATTTATATATTCTTTGATTTAGTATTTATTCATTCATTCCTATATTTAGACTTAGACTTAGACTTAGACTTAGACAGAACTTTATTGATCCCTTGGGAAGACTCCCTCAGGAAATTAAGGTTACCAGAAGATACTGGAAAGGCAGCCGTCTCCACAGCGCCAGAATCCATTTAATGTTTAATTAATTTACAAATTAATTTATTATTTGATAAATTTAATTATTTATCTATTCATTTTATACATGTTTTTTTTGTATTTTTGTAAAACCAGTCTCTGTTTTTTCTTCTGGCTTCAGTTTTCAGTCTCTTGCTCCTCTCATACCTTTATTCACATGTAAAAAACATCTTATTCCTGTCTTTGACTCAATCCTTTGTTAAAACGTGGCTGATCGGAGCTCCGGATGGTTCGGAGCTGCCGCTCCCACCGTTTTCAGGCTGTAACTGAGCTCTCCGGCTCCCTCCTCAGGTACAAGATGACCTGCGAGTACACGTGGCCGAACCACCTGATGGGCTCGGACCGGGCGGCGGTGGAGGCCATCATCACGCAGCACGGTTTCCAGGACGACGTGGCCTACGGCCACACCAAGCTGTTCGTGCGCACGCCGCGCTCGCTGTTCACACTGGAGCAGCAGCGCGCCGCCCTCATCCCCATCCTGGTGCTGTTCCTGCAGAAGGTCAGTCAGGGCGCAGGCTTAAAGGGCACCGTGGAGGATTTTACGGATTTGATTAGAGGTTGAAACGTGTGTTCAGGAGCTGGAAACAGGTTGATTTTAGACAAAATGAGGCTTAAAGTGTCTCACTGCTCAGTTTGATGAAGAATCCTCTGAAAACAGGAGCTGATTTTGTACGAAAATTATGCAAAGACCTCAGTTTTTCCACAAGAAACTAAAAAAAATATCCCACAAATTCATTTGGGAATCAGATGAATTACTAAAAGAAATAAACATCAATCAGAATATCTCAACTTTAAAGTTCGAATTCCTGCTTTTTGCCTGCAGAATACCTGTAAATGTTGCGATCATTTTATACTCGATGGGGGTGAAGTCAGTTTCTTGCTTGGAGGAAAAGTACTGTCTCCTCTCTTTCCTCTGACCCATTTAGCCTTTATCTGCCAGATGGGCCTGGTGGGGCTCGGTCGGCCTTAGAGGAGGCACTCCTCTCTGCTTTTTGTCTCTGGTGTTCTAAAAGATGAAAAACTGTCCCCCAGATCTGGCGAGGGGCTCTGGCCCGCCTGAGGTGCCGCCGGATGAGGGCCATCTACGCGATCATGGGCTGCTACAAGCGCTACAAGGTGAAGGCCCACTTCTGGGAGGTGGAGCAGAGGTTCTCCAACGTGCGGACGATGGCCGACTACGGGAAGAGCCTGGAGTGGCCGACGCCGCCGGCGGCTTTGGCCCAGTTCCACAAGATCACAGTGTCACTGCACCGCAGGTCAGAGCCCGAGACACAGATGTTTGTGTCCAACACAAACAGAGATGACCTGCAAGCAGCAACTTAGCTTAGCATTAGCGGTGTGAGTTAGCACAGTTAGCTAAGAATCAACCCCTAAATCAACTTTCATCTCTTAATTTAGCTGCAAATTCTAAACTAAAATAGCTCAATTATCTTAGAATCAACACTAAATTATCTTTAATCTCTTAAATTAGCTGTGGATTCTAAACTAAATGAGCTAAATTAGCTTAGAATCAACCATTTACTTTAACCTAGCTTTGCATCTGCAGGCTAAGCTACCTAAGTTGGTGAAACTTAGCACTACACGCCTTAGACACTCATATAGAGCATCATAAACCTAACATTTGCTAATTGACGTTAGCTGTTAATGCTAAACTAGGCTAATTGGCTGCTATCTGTTGCTCCATTAGCAATCCAAAGCCCTATTCTTAGCTCCAGTTTAGCTTAGCCTAGAGACTAAACATTTGGTGAAATCTGCTTTTATACCCAATCCTGACACCCTCACCGGCCAGAAGCTAATCTGCTGGTTGGAGAACCTTCCAGAACCCGTTCCCTGTGGGTTCTGCTGGCTTTCTGTCTTTATGGACTCGGAGCTGCTTCAGGCTGTGGTTCTGTTTCTAGTCCTGGTTCTGGTTCTGGTCCTGGTTCTGGTTCTGGTCCTGGCTCTGGTCCTGGCTCTGGTTCTGGTCCTGGTCCTGGTTCTGGTCCTCTCACATGTCACGGTCGTTGCAGGTGGTGGGCCAGGCAGGTTGTGAAGAACATCCCCCCGTCCGACATGCTGGAGGTCCGGTCCAAGGTGGCGGCTCTGACAGCCCTGAGCGGCGAGAGGAAGGACTGGGGAGCGCGCCGGGTCTGGGAGAGGGACTACCTGTCCAACGTGAGACCCACCGACACACAAAGGAGTCACACAAACACACAAAGGAGTCACACAAACACACAAAGGAGTCACAAAAAGTAGTCACAGAAACACACTAAGGAGTCACACCAATACATGTCTGGGCTTCCTCTGAAATAAAAAGAGAATAAATAATTAAATAAATAAATAGATAAATAACTAAGAAATACATAAATAAATGGATTAAAAACAAATATTCAAAACAAATACATAAGTTAATAAATAAATACATAAATAAACAAATAAATAACTAATTATTATAATATTTCAATTAAAAAGTTTTACTTCCCAAAGAAACATTTTTTTCCAATTTTAAATTTTTATATCTCCAAAATTTAAAAAATGTAGATATGTCTTTCAAAAAAATCCCTTTTTTAGATGAATTAACATTTAGAAAAATTATTTATTTTTAAATAAATGAAAAATTTTCTGAACTCAATCAGCAGAAGAGCCAGTTTCCTACTGGGGGTGAGGCCTGTTTTCCTTTAAGCTGGACAGTGCCCCCCCTCCCCGGTTTGCTAAGCGGCTCAGCAAATGGGGGAAATCCAGCGGGTGTCTCATCTGCACAGGGCGACGCCTGGGGCCCGTTTGTCAGTTTGTCAGGCAGCCTGAGACCTGCTGCCTCCTGCATGTGACCGCTTTTCCCCTCAGAGCCCCTCAGAGCTCAGTCTGCTGATCGGAGAAGAGGCAGACGCTTGTCTCTCCAGGAGAAAGGCTCCTTATGTCTTCTCTAACCAGAGAGCATTCCTTCATTTATCTATTTTAAGTCTTTAAGTCACACATATGATGCTCCATAACTCCATAAACAGCCTCCATAACTCTATAACTCCATAACCAGCCTCCATAACTCCAAAACCAGCCTCCACAACTTCATAACCAGCCTCCATGACTCCATAACTCCATAACCAGCCTCCATGACTCCATAACCAGCCTCCACAACTCCATAACCAGCCTCCATGACTCTGTAACTCCATAACCAGCCTCCATGCTTATGTTTGTTTATGTTTATGCATTTGGCAGACGCTTTTATCCAAAGCGACTTACAGAGTAGACACAATATTACATTTATCATCACTATGACAATAAGCTATACTATCCATAACTCCATAACCAGCCTCCATGACTCCATGACCAGGCCCCAGACCTGGTCCTGCCCTGTGGGGGGGGTAGCTAACGTGGTCTCTCCCCTCCAGGTCCGGGACTGCCCTCAGACCAGCTCCAGCTTCGTCCGAGCCTCCAAGGAGCTGAAGAACAAGGACAGCTTTAGTCAAGTTGTGTTCTCGGGCTTCTGCAGGAAGGTAAGTTCTAAGTTCTAAGTAAGTTCTGATTGGTTGCCCTGAGCTGCCCCCCCTCACCTGTCCTGCCCCCCCCCCCCCGCTGTCCCAGGTGAACCGGTTCAACAGAAGCACAGACCGAGCGCTGCTGGTCACCGACAGGTTCGTCTACAAACTGGAGCCCAAGAAGAACTACAAGGTTCTGAAGAGGTTCCCTCTGGACACGGTGAGCCCTGAACGCCCCCCGACCCAGCAGAACATAAGCAGAACATCATTAGAACATCATTAAAACATCAACAGAGCATCATTAGAAAATCATAAGAACATCATAAGAACGTCATTAGAGCATCAT